GGGGGTGAACATCTTCTTGTCTTCTGTAACCCAACCTGCACTCGGAGAGAAGATGCTTTAGTGACTGGACACACAGGCAGACAGACCGATACTAGGAAATTCAGTAACAGGTAATTATGTCTTTTGTCTCGTGAGAGGAGTTCATCAAGATGTCCACCCTAAAATGATGACAGACACAATAATAAAGAACAAGACGGGGTGTTAACGAAACAGTGTTTAATTAAGCCAGCAGGGCAAGCCGTGTCTTGGGAGTTCCAGTTCAGCAACCTCTGAATCACGCCGTGAAATCCAGGGGTGCAATGCTTTCCTCAGATCGTTCTCTCTGTGCACGGAGGTTCAAAGTACTGGATGGAGAAAATACACCCATAGGGGAGGATCACAGCGAGCAGCTCACATCCTGAGCTGAGGTTCTCTGCAGTGGTCTCTGCTTCTGAAGCAGCTGATCCTTTTTTTTTTTTTTTTTTTTTTTTTTTTTTTTTTTTTTTTTCAGCCTGAAGCAATACAGCTTCAGGACCCTTAGAGATACTGAGACATTTCAGCTTCAGGACCCTTAGAGATACTGAGACATCTCAGCTGCGTTCGGAGCTGCTAACTTAACTGCTCTATACCCCCCAGAGCATCTTTAGACTTTTGGGGACTCACCTGATCAGCTTTTGCAAGGCCAGTGGCGGGTTGATAGCAGCACAGCACCAACCCACGCTGTGTGGGAGCTGGAGTAGCATTTTCTGTCTAGGAAAGATGGGCTGAGGCCAGCATTTTGCTTACTTGTGGTGTGATGTTCCCTGGAATTAGCGGCCCAACTTCAGTATCAACTGGGAGCTGAGCTGGGCTCCACGAGGTGAGAGCTGAGGAGCTCCACGTTCACCGTGAAGCCACCTCACTCAGCGCACGTTTCCCCCGTAGTTTCCCAAATGTTTTGGTAAGGCAGGTTTCACTGCATACGGTGTTTGGCTCTAAAAATAGTCTTTGTGCAATTCGCATGGAAGGGGAAAGCAATTACACCTCTACTATGGGAAAAACATTCACTCCCTTTCCACGGGCTGACTTCAGAGCCTCTTCAACGATAATTACCATCATTTTTCTGCTGAGGTTGCTGACATGGAGGTGAAGTGACCTCCTCAGGCCTCTCCAGAGCTGGATCCAAACCAGTGTTTAAGGTCAGGACGGCCCCACCTTCTGATCTCCAGACAGGGTTCAGGTCGTCTTCCTCCCAGCTATGGAAAGTGATTTTCTTTAATCACTCGATGTTGCAAGTTGAGGCTGGGAATTTGACACCTAAATATTCCAGAAACCCCACTGCTTGCTTAAATAAAAGCAATGTCTCAACACAGAACCGTGGCTGTACGGCCTGTAACAGTCTTTGCCTCAACACTGCTCCGCAAGTGCTACGTGCCCTGTTTCTCCCACACGCTCTAATTGATGGATGGAACAAAGGTTACCGAGGCTCTGACCTGAAGCTGCGTATTCGCTTGTGAATATTGCACAAATGTTCAATTTGATCTGACGAAAGGCACTGTCTCCTTTCGAACCCAGCTGCTCTGTCTAATTCAGGCCAACAAGTGCAACAATAAAACCCACATTTTTAGGAGTCTGAACTTATTGCCTCTGTCTTACTGCTTTGAAGGGCTCTATTCCCGGAGCGTATCTCGGCAGAAGAGCTGTTTTGATAACCACGAAGCATGATGCTACCTAGAAAGCAGACAGGCAGGTTCTCCACTGCTGGAAAGTGTCCTAGTTCCTGCCTTCAGCAGAGCTACGACTGCAATTTGTACCAGCAGAGCAGCAGGTGAGGCCTGAATCAGGGTTAGGTCTTGGGCTGGGATGTTCCGCTCACTAGCAAAAGCTGGCGACTAAAACTAAGCAGCTTCCAAAGGCAGGCAGGCAGGCAGCAAGGCAGAGCCCCACCTGCCGTGAGGTAAGAAGGGAAGTTGCTCAGATGAGGTCACGCTAGGGGAGAAGATGTGGTCTAAAATTCAGGTGTTCTATCCTTCAGTTGCCAAACGATTATTAACAGAGGAAGTTACACCACAGCTAGAAACAGCTTCTCGCATTTGCAGGCCAGAATCCCAAGCGATGACGGGTACCAGCTCAGCCTGTTGCGACGATTGCATCTGTAGTGCGTGCTCTGATAAGAACTCCGGTAAAACGGTGGAGACGGGACAAAGATATTCCCAAGACGACCGAATATGATGAAATTCACCTCTGTGTGGGACACATCGTCTGTGCTGCTGAAAATAATCCTACCATCAGTAATGAGGACTGCTTGACTTGTGTTGTGACAGCTCCCTGAGATTTTAAGAGTAACAATCAGGGAGCTATTTTCACTCAATTAACTTCTTTTAAGTGGAATAACGCTTAGGGAATAAACTGTATACGCTACAGACTCCCTTTGTTTCATGTGTAGAGCGAAACATCTTTTCAAAGATGCCAGTCAGGCACCTAAATGTGCGTCCAAAATCCATTTGGATGTGATGAACCTTACACGTTATTAAAAAAAAAAAAAACAACTTTACTTTTCACATGATACGTAGAGATAAACCCAGCTCCCTCTTCTGTCACATTTAGAGAGCTGCATTTTCTGTACCATGGGAAATAACACGTTCAAAATTGTTCTGAAATGAAAGAAGAATGACATTTATTAAGGTCTTCATGGCGAAAAAAAATAAAATAAAATAAACCCACCCGTCACAAGTTTATAGAATCACAAGAAAGTCATTTTAAAGAGTTCATTGATAAAAAGCAGGTGAAAGAAGCACAGATTGAGACCCCTGTCTTAAACTACAAATGCATCCTAAGAAGCGGGGGCATTAGCTGGCACGAAATGACTCATGCACGGGTCGAAGTGGAACCGCGGTGCTTGACACCAAACCGAGACCCCTGACCTCCCCGGGGTCTGCAACGAATGTATTAACCTGAAGGTACGACCCTTGTTCACGCCGAAAGTTTTCTGTTAAATCAGATCAATCAAAAAGGGGAATAAAACGCATTCTGCACCAAAAGCCTCTCCTCACAATGCCTACGTGTAGAACAAGTCCGTGGAGGAAATGCATGCACAACGGCAGTTGTGAAAGAATGAGCTCATTACCTAGGAGGACTCATTCCCAGAAGGCAGGGCTTTGAAACCATATAAAAGTTCTCAAATCTCTGCGCTCCACCATCCACTCGGCTTCGCACTTCTCCCTGTTGCCTGGTTGGGTAAGTCAGAGAATACTGATTTTTTTTTTTTTTTTTTTTTTTTTTTTTTTTTTTTTTTTTAAGTGTTTTGTTCAATACCTTTGAATATGCAAAAGATTCCTTCAAAGAAGAGAAACTGTGGGCATCGGGGGTAGGACAAGCAGTCCTGGAATGACTCTGCAGGCAAATTCAGATTACGTGCTAAATTAGACCCTTTCTGAAGAAGAGATTAGATAAAATTACGTTGGTTTAAGAATAACTGATCCTGCCTTCGGGGAAGGAGAAGGTCTAAATGACCTCCTACAGCTCCTTCCAAATCTGTTTTCTGTGATTCTGCTATTTATAACAAGAATATATCAAAAGCTTGCGTTTCTTTAAAGAATTATTTTATAAATTATAGATTTAGGAGTGTGAGGGGCTGTAGGGAGCAGGAGGGCGAAAGTATTCCTAGTGGGCTGCCTCACTCATGTTAACCATGTCAAGAGCAATATATTAATTTGGCTTAAGATCTTATCAAGTCCTTATAAAGAAAATAGCAAGAGACGAGCGATATTGATCTGGAGGATCGAGGAGTACATAGAAGAGAGGGATGAATTTGCTTTGAAGATGTGCTGAGAGGAGTAGGCAACACGGGGAAGGGAGAACGAACTTGCACACTCACATGGTCCACGTTGGTGCTAGACCTGTGTTAAGAGGACTTAAAAAAAATGCCCCTTTCAACCAACACTTCTGTGATTCCAACCATTTCTTGGTGCCCTTAGATTGTCTTTAGGAAAACAGCAACAGGCTTTACCAAAGACACAGCACCAGTCCAGCTGAGCCTGCCTCCAGCAGCCCAACAAAACAGGGGCAGGCTCATAAATTGTGAGGAAAACCCATTTGGCCTGTTGCACATGACTGGCCTTGGGAGAAGAAATCCCTCCTGATTATTCTGATTCATGCAAGCTACGTGTGTTACTAATGGCCATGATAATCCAGAAACATTGGGACGCATTATCACTGCTAATTCTTTCCATGACACTTTGAAGGACTGTGCCACAGGTAACCTCAATCCATTGCATCACCAATGAAGTCAGAGTGAAACCGGAGCAAGAGGAGGAGTTGGCCTGTTATTGTTACTGTAGAGACTCTTATCACTGCAGAAAGATATCAGCTTACTGGTGAGGTCCACCTTGAGGCCTTAGCACCTCAGGTTTCTAATTCCAAGTAGAATCCGGAAACCGTTTGAACAGGGACGAAATCAAATGAAGTATTTCAGTTTTGCCAATGTAAAATATCCTGGTGGGCCCAGATTTGGGGTTTGCTACTTTCTGATACACCAGAAGTTTTCAAATGCTTGTCTTCAGCATTCTTTTCCATTATTATTATTATTTTGACTTTCTGAAACCGTTATCAAACCAGCGGATCTGTTATTTGCCAGCTCCTCTCATCAATTCCCCAGGACAGAAATGAAAGGTAGTTAACACTTTGGGAAGAGCTAAGCAACAGGAACAAGAGCTCTGAAGTGTAAATCAGCTCCAGGTTCAAAGGAGTGGTGCTACCTCAGTCAGACCTGACAGGGCTGTCCCACATTGCAGAACAGAAAGGAGGAACAAGATAAGACAGAGTCAGAGCAGGAGCTGAAAGACGGGATGAAAAAGAAAGAGCAAATCATAATTCTTTCTGAGCCAACCTGCCTTGGGAAACCAAGGGCAAACGAAGAGAACTTTACTCTTGCAGCTGATTCATGTTTCTTATAATCCTTTCACCCTTATCCCACTGCAGTTCATTTAGCAGACACAATAACCCTCTGACATTTCTTTCAGATAATCTTGTTTCCTGCAAAGATGTCTTTGAATCAAGTGCAAATCAAGCAGGAAATCACCCTCCCACCTGGCCTCAGCAAAACCATTTCAAAGCAAAGCCAAGAGCCTGTGCCGTGCACTGAGCAGGTCCCGTGTCCGCAGCAACAACCTGAAGCCCAAGTCCCAACACCTTGCCCAGAACCAGTCCCAGTAGAAGTGGTACCATGCCCGGAAAAACCAGTGGTGGTGGAACCAGCCAAGGAAGAAACACCAGTGGTCGTAGTACCCCAGTGTCCACCCCAGGAGCAGCAGCAGCAACAGCAATGCAAGCTACCTCCTGTGTCATGTCCTGAGCCTGTTCCGTGCCCTGAGGAGAAATCAACATGCAAAGAGCTGCCTGTGCCAGCCCCTGTTTCCTGCTCTGATCCAACTCCATGTGTGCTGGAGCAGCAGGAGTGCCAGGAGACCCCTGTGCCGGTTCCCGTTACCTGCTCAGAGCCTGCAGCATGTGCCCAGGAGAAGCAGCAGTGCAAGGAGATCCCCGTGCCCATCCCTGTTCAGTGCCCCGAACCTGCACCGTGCGCCCAGGAGCAGCAGGAGTGCAAGGAGATCCCCGTGCCCACCCCGTGCCCTCCAGAGAAGCAGGAAATCAAGGAGATCCCCGTGCCAATCCCTGTGCAGTGCCCTGAACCCACGCCATGTGCCCAAGAGAAGCAGCAGTGCAAGGAGATCCCCGTGCCCACCCCGTGCCCTCCAGAGAAGCAGGAGAGCAAGGAGACCCCCGTGCCAATCCCCGTGCAGTGCCCCGAGCCAGGGCAGTGCCCCCTTCCCGAGAATTGCCCTCCCGTCGAGCAGCAGCAGGTGAAGCAGCCCAACCAGTGGCCCCCCATGCAGAAGTAACCCGCAGCTGACAAGGCCTGAAGAGAGAAGATCATGGCAAACCCAGACCTCCTCTCCCCACGTCTCACAACCAGAGGTCGTTTTCCAACACCCTTTTATTCGCTGCAGAATTTCTGTTAAGAAGCACAGCTTCCAACTCCCCCCCCCCAGCTAACGCTAGCGTTACCCCGTACTAACAGCCGTACGCTGACGCGTCCAGAACATCAATAGATAACGAGGCTTCAAGCGGTGTCGTAGGCATGTGCGTTCAGCTTTCCAGCAGCCCGAATTTCTGCCCTCTCCCAATCATCCCGCTGCCTTTTAAAGGCCCAGAGAGAGACCAAAGAGCACGATGGCACGCACGAGTCGGAGTTCATTAAGCTAAATACTCAAAAACTTAACCCAAATGCAATTAGGGACCTAAAGCTCATCGTCCAGACCCGCGTGCTGCCTCCCGGTTTTCACGCCTTCCTCCCCACTCCCTGCACTCAAATGCCATTTCCCACCTTGCATTTAGGGGTTTTGCCTACTAATAATAGGATTTGAAGTTTGTGCAGAACCTGATGCTAAGGGGTTCTGGTCCATGGCAACACGGCTTTCTGAATCATGAATCCATAGTGCTGAATATTTTACGCAATTATTAAAAAAAAAAAAAAATCCATTGGGCTAGAGGAAATAGATTTTTTTTAATTTTTTTTTTTTACAAAAGAGCCATCACTTCTTAATTATCTGCTTAGCTGAACTGGTAGCAATCAGCGCTTCCCTCAGAGAGCTCACCTTGGATTTTCTAGGATGTGTAAAAGAACAGCCTGCGCTGAGATTATTTATGGAAAATATATAGATAATTAAATCCAATCCAGACATGTTTTGAAATAGATTAACCTCAGGCGTGGCTCCCATCTGTTAGACAGGATAAAGGAGAAAGCATGCACAGTGCTGTCTCAATTACACCCTGGAACATGTTTCACCACGGAGAGTTGATGCGTATGTATTTGGTACTTATCTCTAATTATTTTAGGCTGATGTTGTATCCAGGATTTGTTTCACTGTGAAATTCAACAATAAAAATTACTTTGAATACCAAGTTGTGGAAATTTTTTATAGCTTCTGCTTAAAAAGATGAAAAGGAGCCTCAGCTTGCAACAGCCAGTCTTTTTTTTTTTTTTTTTTTAGGCTCAAAGCTGGGTAAATCGGGACTCGGAGACTCAGGTGCTCGCAGGGGACCCTGGGTCCTCTCCTCTCCAGGTGCCCAGGTGACACAACCTGCAAGGGTCCCTGCACCGTGTCAGTCCGGGTTGGCCAACAGCCCTGAAACACCTCTCAGCAAAACACCCCAAGCCAGAGCATGGCCCATAGCATCGGCTCACACCGAGCTGTCCCCTCGGCCAATCCGCCCAAACTAAACATCTCCACATCCACTCTGTGACCTCCAGCAGCCATAAGGCAGGGCCGTGTCTACGAGGCGGGTTGCAAGCACAAGCGAAGGAGTTTTTTCCCACACTTTGGATGAGCCAAGAGCGATGTAATTGCGCTAGTTTGGCCCTGTACCTGTTGGATGGGTGTTAGATAGAGCCAACCTCATCGTCTGATCACAGAATCAGAAGGAGACACGCAGCTTCTGGTTTGCAGAGCAAGCTCATGTCGCTCTGCCAGACACCAATAACCCATCACTCAACAGTTGATTTATTCATCCTTTTCCTCCTCTACGCTGCCGTACAGCCGACTGAAAAATCCATTAACCAAGCCAGTCTGTCCTGCTGAGAAACCCAAAACATCCCGAATCCTCTCTCTGATTCTTTTAAAACGGAAACTTTCAATTCTGAGCAAGCAAAAGCTTCCTCTCAGGGTTAAAAACTTGCAAAGGCTGTTTTCCTCTCAGCAGTTACAGTGTAGTTGGGAGACTCTAAAACCACAATTAATGGTTCAGATAGACCTACAGGAATACGCTTCAGAATATCACACCTTGCAGAAAATTGAATTTCCCCAATTCGCTCCAGTTCAGGATGAAAAACAATTCGCAACACTGCCCCAGGATGGGCAGCACATTGATCCTGGGCCAGTTTTGACACCCAGGCAGCAGCTCTGCCCCATGGCACCCGGAATTTAGACGGTCTGTCTACAAATGTTGATCATTCTGTGCCCTGTTTGCTCTAGACATTTCACATTTCTGGTCTACTCGGTCATTGTATTAACAGCTGTAGGTTTCTGGATCTGTCTGGAAAAAAAAAAAAAA